CAGTCCCGGATGCTGCATGACTTCATCCTTCCGCCGGCTCCCCTGCTGAGCTAGGGCCGGTCCGGCAGCTAGCCTCTGCCCGTGCCCCGCCGCAGTCCCCAAGCCCGCCCGGTGCCCGCCATGTCCGAGATCCTACCCTACGGCGAGGACAAGATGGGCCGCTTCGGCGCAGACCCCGAGGGCTCCGACCTCTCTTTCAGCTGCCGCCTGCAGGACACCAACTCCTTCTTCGCCGGCAACCAGGCCAAGCGGCCCCCCAAGCTGGGCCAGATCGGCCGAGCCAAGAGAGGTACGCGGCCCGGGCCCGGAGTCGCCGCCTGACCCAGAAACCCTTCGCTCGGCGTCCCCGGGCTGCCGTTCCCCGTCAAGTGGCAGCTGCTCTTGCCGCAGACCAGCGCAGCCAGCTGCGCACCCGCCCGGGGTGGGGAGGGTCCCCGCTGTGGAGTTGTCCCATTCTTTCCCTCTCCCGGGAATACAGTGTCCCGGATTCGAAGCTCGCCACTTCTGGAAAAAGAGCCCTGGCTCCCTGGCCGAGGGGGAGGGGCCGCTTAGGGTATTTGGGGCCGCTTGGCACTGGGAACGCAGGATGGTGGGCCGATTCCTCGGGCTGACATGAGTAGGTGGATGTTACTGGGAGGGCAGGGAGGCCAAGGGTTCGGTTGTCTTGATCGTTTGCACGGGGAGGGGACTCCCGGGTGCCAGTCTCAGGACAGGGATTCAGGTGGAGGAGAGGGTTGGTTACCCCAGGTGGCAGTTTCATCCGAGCCCAGTTTGAGGAGGGGTCTGTGTCGAAGGGAGAGGTTTCCGATCAGTCTAGGTGGAGGAAGGCTCAGGTGACGGGAGGGCTCGCACTGGGAGTCTTTGGAAGAGGGGTGTTCCCGCACAGGGAGGAGGAGGAGGAGGTTTGGTAGCAGGCAGCAGGGTCCGCAGGAGAGTTCGGGTGGGGAGGGCATGGTTTTTCGAGTGGTGTCGCGGGAACATAGGCGGTAGAGAGTAGATCTGCGCGGGGCGTGAGGACACGGGCCCCCCGCTCTCGCCGCCGCCCCCCGAGACCACGCGGGCTGATGCGCTTTCTCCCTGCGCAGTGGTGATCGAGGATGACCGGATAGACGACGTGCTGAAGGGGATGGGGGAGAAGCCTCCGTCCGGAGTGTAGACGCGCCGGCTCTGGCGGCGGGCTCCGGGCCCAGCCCCGCAGCGGCCAGGAGCACGGGCCG